TATGAGCTGACTACTTGAGCGTTGCGACACTTCAAAGTCGACGCTGTCTAAAAAGTTGTTGATTAATTTTTAGATATTTTTAAACTTCAGATAATTTAATCAAGTTGTGCAAATCAAATTGATAAATTTGTTTAATCAAAACCTATTATCAAAATTAAGATAAAGTCAGATCGGGATATTTTGGAGTTTAAACGTATCCGCGCTCAGATTAGAACATTTTCATTCGTGTTTTCTGAAAGATTTGTTTCTTACTCCGCAGTATTTGAATATTTGCAAATATTACAGCAGCAGCATAAATCTTCCATTTTGTATTCATAACCAACACTGCAACATCTGATCTAAAAACCTCTATAATATTTCGGGGGAAAATAAAGTTTACATTTACTTTATTTTCTTTCTTATTGTGAAGAGTATTCATGTAATTTATTTCTACACGTTTTAGTCTTTGTTCAACAAAACAATTTTTCGAATTTATACAGAGGGGTTTTTTTAAAACATCAAAACTCAAAACGTTAAAAACATTTTTATAGATTTGCCCTTTTAAAAATCATTTTCAGAAGGCCTACTTTGCGCTTGCACCATGGGAGAAAAAAGGGAAATATTATTTTAAATTCCTCATTCTGAAATTTGCATAAAAAAGATAAAAAATTGTAGGAATTTGAGTCTTTGCCACAAAATCCAATTTTCTAATCCCTTTATTTTTGCAACCTAATGTCGTAGAACTTAGATATTTCAAACTATAAATTTTGTAAGATCAAACAATCTAAACTAGAAATATTAAGTTGAAAAGATAAAGCTGTATTAACAAAGGAAATGAGTCTTTGCCAAACTCAAATGTTCTAATCCCTATATCTTTTCCATCCGAGGGTGTATACCTTTAATATTTCAAACTTACGTCATCTGATCCATCAGAATTCATAGTTTGAAATATCTAAGGTCTACTACAATGGGTTGCAAAGATATAGAGATTTGAAACTCAGAGTTTGTGGCAAAAACTCAATTCCTTTGAGTTTGTGGCAAAGACTCAATTCCTTTCTAGCAACCACAGATCATAAATCATAGGTCATTGATATTCGCAAGCAAAAAATATTTGTATTCTCTGGAAAATTCAAATTAACTAATTTTCGATAAAATATGTTTAACTTTACAAATTATCGGTCGTATTGTTTTACTTGCTTTTCTGATATAACGCTAAATTGTATTTCTGCATTTTCCAAATTCTCCAATGTTTGTAGAAAACTAAAGTTTTCTCTTAGGCCAAGTAAATCCTCCTTTTTATAGGAGTTAAAACATAAATCTTGATTCTCTAGGACTGTTGCTGCAACTTTACTTAATTAAAAAACACACAAATAAATACATTCAAGTTAGCAAAGCGATCTATATTAATCTCAAATATTTGCTGGCGAATCTACCAGATATACAATTTGTATTTAAGCTAAAATTACCTTAAATACTAACAGATAAACTTTTTAATATTTTACTTTTTTTACTTATCGCTGATTACTGACAGATATTTAGAGATATTAAGGTTCTCGTTATTAGCTGATTAGCTGATTAGCTACCAAATACCAAAAGTGAAACAAAAATACTACTGTAAACTGATCACTACTAGATAGTGCTTGTTATTAATTACTGACAGATATATTACTTGCTATGAGCTGACTACTTCCATTTAATAATTGTTTTATGCTGATTATTTCAAGATAATACGTACTTCCTATAAGTTGATTACTAGAACATGATACAACTATAAGCTGATCACTACAAGATAATACTACTATAAGCTGATTACTAGAACATGATGCAACTATAAGCTGATCACTACAAGATAATGCTACTTTAAGCTGATTACTAGAACATGATGCAACTATAAGCTGATCACTACAAGATAATACTACTATAAGCTGATCACTACAAGATAATACTACTATAAGCTTATCACTACAAGATAATACTACTATGAGCTGATTACTACAAGATAATACTACTATAAGCTGATTACTAGAACATGATGCAACTATAAGCTGATCACTACAAGATAATACTACTAGAAGCTGCAACTAACTACCAAAATCTTTCAAGCTACACTTCCTATATTAAATGCTTCAAATAATAACAAAATCTTTATCATTCAAGAATTAAAATGTTTCTAATTTTCCTTCTCTTGCCTTTTGGTTTATCAAGTGCAGGTTTGTATTATAATAATAAATATCGTTAAGTTAAAAATTAAAAAATATATTTAATGAGGTTTTCTTGTCTTTACACTGAGAATCCAATATTTAGGCAAATAAGCTTTATCTTTGTTATATTGGCATCATCTTCACTTTTTTAGAATTTATTTATCAAATCAAATCATTTATTTCTGCAGAAAAAAAAACAATATTTAGAATTAACTTTTAAAAATCACACTATGTAAAATATTATTTTCCGCAGCAGGCGGACTTAATAGCCTGGGGCTGTTTTAGCTGAGCCCCCCTGCATGTTAACCAAATTCTTTAATTGAATAATAACATTTAAAAAAAAACACATACACAAAAAGAACCAAAGAGAAAATCAGTTCAGCATCAATCGAAATTCATGAGAAAGAAAGTAATTGGAAATAACTATTTATAACACTGTTATTTTGGTTCGCAGTGTTAAAAAGTTTCTGAACAGAAATTTTCTCTTTATCGAGAACCTTCGAGCTATAGAGAAAATTTAAGTCCATGCCAAAAAATAATGTTATAGGTAATTTTTTTAAAACGTTCGTGTAAAAAAATAAAGTTGATTTAAATTTTATTTTCATTTCAATTGAAAAAATTTATTTTGAAAATAATTATATTTTTTCGAGAAAATCCAAAAAACACCAGTAAAAAGTTCAAAATTAAATAAAGTCATTTTAAATTAAATCCTAGGAAAAAAGTCATGATACTTTTTATCGAGGACTTTTTTCCGGAAGTTCCTCACAAACATTTTCAGTTTACAACTTTACGAATATTTTGTATAAAGTACTGTTGGTAGTAGAATTTAGGATTTTTTAAAATACTCTTTGAGTGTAAACGTAACTTTATTGATTATTTCTTTTTTTGACATCCTGTTTAATGCATATTATTAGATAACTGGGTGAAAGAGATTCAGACTGCAAATCAGAATTCATTTACATGTAAGTCCCTTTATCTTAGAAAATTACAAAACTGAATTGTTTAAATTGCAAATAAAATTAATGAATTAATGGTTCAGTAACAAAATATGAAACGCAAATTGAAGAAAAAAGGGAAATTGGTATAACAACTAAATTTAAATGTAAAAACGGAATAAAATCTGTAAAGTTGTCTCTAAAGACGGAATAAAATCTGTAAAGTTGTCTCTAAAGACGGAATAAAATCTGTAAAGTTGTCTCTAAAAACGGAATAAAATCTGTAAAGTTGTCTCTAAAGACGGAATAAAATCTGTAAAGTTGTCTCTAAAGACGGAATAAAATCTGTAAAGTAGTCTCTAAAGACGGAATAAAATCTGTGAAGTTGTCTCTAAAGACGAAATAAAATCTGTAAAGTAGTCTCTAAAGACGGAATAAAATCTTTAAAGTAGTCTCTAAAGTCTCATCCTTTGTTCTTCTCAGGTGAAATGTGTGAATTGACGAGTATTTACGTGAGAGAGTTCGTTCTTAACAATTCAACAGCTGAAAACTTACAAAAGGTATCTTATAACTCTTTATTTTATTATTTTTTTTCAATTTTTATGTAAAAAGATTTGAGTATTTATCTGTAAGTTGGCATAAAAGAACTTTATGATTGCTTTATAAGATAATAAGCATCTACAATGTTCAAGCTTTGACGCAAATAATAATTCATGGAACTAAAAACACAAATATGAACAGGTTTTAAGTGAGTTCTGCAATATGCTTTACAAGAAGAATTCAGAAAAAAAGACGGAGTGTAAAATCATTTCTCAGAACATGTCCCTAGACTTGACCCAGGTTAGATAAAGCATTAAAACTAAGATCTGACTAAATCTTGACAAAAAAAATATTTGAAAATTTATATTTAAACCTTCTTAAAGGGACTGAAAACAAGCGTAATTTATATTACCCTTTATTTAACAAATAACTTTGAACATTGAATATTTTAAATTAAGGTTTTTTGTAAAATGACACGTGGGTTTTTGCTGGAGAGACAATGGAGAAAATTGTAAGAATCAAACATTTAGCAAAACAGAAAAAAAAACAATAACATTATTGATTAGAGAAAGGTTGGGTATTACCCCGGTCTAACCATAATGAGTGAGCAGAATTCAGTTTCTTCTATATGAAATCTAACATGTGTTGGTCTATAACTCAACAATCTTTTAACTTACTGATTTGTTTATTTAATACTTTTGGATTCAAAATGCATATGTCGATAAAAAAAATATGTAAGAAAAAAGGCTAAAAATGTTTAATGGGTCAAATTGTGATCGAAAGTCACAGCTTTCTGAAATATTCACATAACCGTTAAATCCACGTGGCATGTCTCTCTTCAACTCTTAAAATAACAAATCCTTCTTTTAGTTTCTTCAGCATGTTTTTCAAGATGAATCTGCTCTGTGCACGTCCCTCAGTGCTTGCAGTAGTCCATCTGAAAAAATGACGAAGGCAAGTGACCAAAACTTGGCAAAGTAACAAGTTGAATATTCTTTTAGAACCTTTTTATGAAAGCCAGTGGGGAGGGGGAGGGGGGCAAGGGAGTTTTTAGAGGGAATCTCAGGAGGGGGGGGGGGGTGTTATATATTTTCTGTGACCAAAAACAAGATGACTTTCGGTTGATTTTTTAAACAAAAATGATTGTCACGAAGATCCAAACTGCTTCGAAATGTTGCATTAATTTTCAAGACTGATTTGACTTTTTACCTTCCTAGCTCATTTATACTTTTTTAGTGCCCTAGACATATACATTGCAAACTATAAAGCACTTTTTTTGGCTTTAGTTTTAAAAAAGTACTTGAAAAAATTCTTATCAATCTTATTGTGAGAGCCTTTGAGCAACCTTTGGGTCACTGTAACGTATGTATATCTTTTGTTAGGTGAATTTGAGTATGTTAGGCTATGAGTCCTGCAGTATCTGTAAATATGTTCTTAACAGTTTACAAAACTCAGTCAGGAACTATTTTCAAATTTTAACAAAAATTATGAAATATAATGGCTGAAGTTTTTTCCATTATTATTATTTTAAAAATGCATTTACGATTCTTAACTGTAGCCCATCTAAGAAACAACTGTTTTCAACCTTAAAATTGATAATGCTATGTAAACTTTAAGATAACAGCTTTCTATTGTTTCTTTTTAAAGGGTACCAATGTGTATGGAAATTTTAAAATTAGGATTTTTAATCTATTTTCTCGAATTTGTTTTTTATGAAATGTAGCATTTTGAATAGTCAATTTGTAGTAATGCAACAAATGTAGAGGCGATAAAACAAACACTTTATCCTTTCTGCTTTGCAGAGGTACTATTTTAATATCAATAGTTATACCAATATTACTAATAATACTGATAATAATATTGATAAATCATACTAATAATAATAATAACAATAATAATAATAATGATAATAATAATAATAATAATAATAATAATAATGCACAATGTTCCACTACTACAACTACTGTTTCTACTACCACTAATAGCATATTTTCTAGATTAAATCTATATTCATTTTTTAGAAAGCATGTGAAAATTATCTCGATGAGGTTTTCGAAGATTTGGAAAACAAGCTGAGAAATCCACTATTCTCACAATCGGTATAAAATTCTAAAATTAAAGACAATATGGTTTTCTTTCTAATATATACATTCAAATCAGAATGGAAAATTAAAGCAGACTCTCATTTGAAGCCTTGGTTTTTATAAAAAATTAAGTGTGCATTTCTTTAGCAAAGACGGGAAAATTGTTTGCCTTATTAAGAAGAAAACACAAGAATATCTCTAACACAATCACAAAATCACTCATAGAAATCGAGCCTTTGCCACAAATGTTCTAAACTCTATATCTTTGTAGCCTGATGGTGTAAATCTTTCATTTTTAAACTTCATCAAATTTCATCAAACAGAATTTATAGTTTGAAATAGCTAAGGTCTACGACATTGAGTTGCAAAAATATAGGGATACACTTTATATTCGTTTAGGTTTGTAAAACAATTGAAGCATGTGACCCAGAAGACCCAGAAAGGAATAGGGTTAAGCCGTAAAATGCGCGGTGCAATGTCAACTAGGCAGAAGGAAAAGGTCAAATTTTTGTGTCATTACTAGTACGACTTTGTGACCTCGTAACTTCTTTAGTATTCTACATCCTTCATAGTTTTACTCATCATTTTATATTCTACATAGTTCTAACCTTCATCTTTATCCTTCATAGTTCTATCCCACATTCTACATACTTCATAGTTCTATTCTTCATAGATATAACCTTCGTCTTCATCCTTCAAAGTTCTAACCTACTTTCTACATTTTTCTTAGTCCTAACCTTTATTCTACATTCTTCATAGTTCTAACCTTCATTCTATATTCTTCCAAGTTCTAACTGCATCTTCATCCTTCATAGTTCTACCGTGCTACCCTGCATTCTACATCCTTTATAATTCTACCCTTTATTTGATCAAGTATGAAAAAGCAAATTTACCCGATTTAACGTGGGTGAAACAATTAAAATTTTTAATACTTTCTACTACTTTGAAGTCATATATATATTTCAGAACGTTAATGAGCCTACCCCAGTCACTTGTACTTTATGTACCAACCTAATCTACTCTATTGATGTCAGTGACAGGAACAAATATTTGATATTAATTTGTTTAACTTAAACCAAGGTTGTATACTCAAATGCACGGAAAATGTCGTTTCCTACGATAGATAGATAAAACCCTCATATGACGTCACTAATAATAGAGGCGAGAGTGACGTCATATGAAGTTTTTATCTATCTATCTTAGGAGACATTTGAGTTTATGGAGAATAACCAACCTTATTATATAACCTTGACGTAGACCAGCTTACAATGTACAGTATCAATTGCAGTTAAATTAGATTAAAATAACCGTTTTAACTATTTCTTGGAGCTTTTTTAACTAAGAGTAAAATTTTTGATTTTTCTCAAATTACTATTAAAAAATTTCTAATCCCTATATCCTCGCAACATTATCTTGTATACCTTAGATATTTCAAACTATAAATTTTGTTAGATTAAAAAATTTAAGTTTAAAATATCAAATGTTTTCAACATCAGGTTGCAAAGAATTAAGGATTAGAAAATTTTAGTTTGTGGCAACGAATAATTATTCACAAGATACTTTTATTTTACAGAGAATGATCAGTGATCTTAAAATATTAAATATTTCTCAGTGATCTTAAAATCCGAAAAGAGAAAATAAAGAATCAGTTGTTTGCCTTCTGCTCAATAGAATATGTAAGTCAAATAAATCTTTTTAATGGGAAACCACAAGGGAAAGTAACAGTTTAAAGAAACAAAAACATTGATAAATAATTCATATTTTATCAGACTAAGTGTTCTTAAGGATATACCGTTGTAAATCGGGCATTGTCATCTTAACATGGAAGGTCACATGAAATTACGTTTACAGGCTTCTTGATAATAATAAAACTTCAAACCCCTTCAGAGACCGGAATTAATGAACAAGAAAATAAGTTAAACGAAATGATCCGTGCTCAAGACTTCGATACAAAAATTATAAAAAGCAAATTCTAAAGTCCAAAAATATTTTTTAATCGGCGCTATTCAGCACAACACGAAAAAAAGTGTGACAATGAATCTTCAATGTAGCCTTTGATTCAGGATGTGAGTGTTTGTGAAAGCTATGTAGCAGAATATACAGACCGTATTGAGAAAATGCTAAGAGATAAAATTTCTGCCGATTTGGTAAATCTAATGGATTTATGTCTGTTCACTTTATATAGAAGGGGGTAAAACAGATTTATTTCAAGAAATATAAATAGAAAATGACATAGTAAAATATTCTATGCTTAGGATTGGGCATGCATTAGTTTTCAATTATACAAGAACTATTCAGAAATCTCATCAAATAGATTTATTTAAAAAAATATAAATAGAAAATGAAAAATATATATTCAGAAATTACCAACTCTGATTTTCTAATCCTTATATACTTTACAACCGAATGTTGTAAACCTTAGATATTTCAAACTATTTAAACATTTGGGTTTGAGGCAAAGATTCCATTCCTTTGCTTTAATAAACAAAAAATTGTTTCTTTAAAAAATCAAATATAAGAATGATGGTTTTGTTCGTTTTTGCTGATGCATCTTGTGCGAGTGTCTAAATAAAATTCTTTACTAAAAATTAAAACTTTTGTTGCACAATTTCAAAGATATAGATAACAGATATATCTTTTTGCAAAACATAGAACATGTATATTTAACAATACATACTATTTCTAACAATATTATTTTATTTGAATTTAAATATTTGGATAAGCTAAATTGTTAAATACCTTTTTTTGGAATTTAAATATTTGTGAAATTCAAGAGATTTAATTTCACAGAGAAAATTTTGTGGAGTACTCTTAAAATATATTGTTTTCTACCACAATTCTCATTTGTTACAAATTTTATTCAAAATCTTTTGACTGGGTTTAGAGTTGGGAGAACAAAATCTTCTTTTGTTTTTCGAACAAAATTTTCCGTTGGATCACGACAACGTCTTCACAAGATTGTATTTATAGCAGAGTGAAAAGTAAGAGTAAGTATTAAATACTAGGCTTTTAGGGCGCGAAGCGTCAAATTTCCTTTTTAATTGTTGACATGTTCTCTTTGTGCACATTATAAAACAAAACAGAAAAAGTTCGCGGATTTCACCAAAAAAATTTCTTAGACTTTCAAAATTTTTAAAAATTTAATAAAATCGAATTTTGATGGAGGCACATTTTTAAATTTTGATCATTCACAAACCTTCCCTGGTGCCACTTGAGGCCTCACACAAAATTTGGGCCCGATCGGTTCAGCCGTATTGACGATTATTGGAGACAAACATACACCCGACAGACAAGCTAAATTTATTAATAGATATATATTAAAAAATGTTTCTGCAATAAATATTGTGACGACAAGACCGAACATCGTTTAAAATCAGATCTGCAAAATATAATTACTAAAAATCAAAATTATTAGGAAACAGAAAATGAAAAACAAGCACTTTTAATTATTCTGAGTTGAATTATATTCAATACAAAATAGACAAACCAGTTTTAAATCGGGGAACTTAGTCTAGAGTTTTCCAGTTACTGAGAATTCACTTCTATATCATGTCACAATTCTTTTTGAAACCGCTGAATTAAAAAGTTTTCAAGAATTTGATTTAAACCCGACTTTTTCTTCCAAGAAATGAGATTTATGCTCAATTGAAATTTGAATAAAGAAAATTAAAATTTATCTAAAGGGTCGGGTTTATTAAAGAGTTACATCCAAGAAACACATTTTTTTCATTATTTCCAAATTTTGTCTCAAAGGAATTGAGATTTTGCAACTAACTCTGATTTTATAAATCCTTTATCTTTGCAACGCAATGTCCTACACCTGTTTTAACTATGAATTATGTTAGATCAATTAATCGAAGATTGAAAAACCCACAGGTTGCGAAGATACATAGATTTACAAATTTGAAATTTTGACTAAGACTCAATTCCTTTAGATTCGAAAACGTATATCTATGTATAGCTATTAGCTAAGAAAAGGATTACACAAAAAGCCTGAATATGTAGATATCACACTGGAAGCTTCGGTGCATTTCAGGTACCGGGCCGATTTTCAAGCAGATAGAGCAAACAGTGCAGAAATGTACACTGTACATCGTGCAGTGTATCAAATAAATCAGCCACCCCTTAGGGAGATTCTATAGAATATACATAATTAGCACATTTAAATTTTTTTATAAAATTCATCAAAATCAAGCTAAATTTATTTTCTAGATATAACAAGAACTAAATTTATTTTCTAGATATGCCAAGAACTGAGTATATTTTCTACCTATGCCGCGCCAAGAACTGAATATATTTTTAAGATATGCCAAGAACTGAATATATTTTCTAGATGTGCCAAGAACTGAATATATTTTCTAGATATGCCAAGAACTAAATATATTTTCTAGATATGCCAAGAACTGAATATATTTTCTAGATATACCAAGAACTGAATATATTTTCTAGATATGCAAGAACTGAATTTATTTTCTAGATATGCCAAAAACTGAATTTATTTTCTAGATATGCCAAGAACTGAATTTATTTTCTAGATATGCAAAGAACTGAATTCATTTTCTAGATATGCCAAGAACTCAATTTATTTTCTAGATATGCCAAGAACTGAATTTTTGTGCAAAATCATTATTGAAGAAGGTAAGGAAAATAAAACATTAGAAATACAAGACCTAAATATATGTTTCTTGAATCCACTAAAACATGGCAATGAACATGTTGATTTCTATTTTGGCCCATGCATACTATGTTAATCTTTTTGTATTTGTGGAATGACCATTCATGTCATATACACACCAAATGAATGCCAAAACAAACTTAATGTTGATAATACAATTTTTTTTTATTAATATACCTTTTCCCTTTCTGATCCCAAATATTTAATTTTAAATGATTTATGTTTGATGTAAAAGTGCCTTGTACGCAGAAAGCCCGAAGATTTTAGAAGACCAAAACTTTTTGTAGCAAAATAAACACAGAGAAATAGCCAGGGTTTATTTTGTAATTGTAATCTTGTTATTCAAAGTTCACATAGAGGAAGGACGGGGGGGGGGGGCATCTTTTGATTCTTAGTGGGATTATATTTTCCCCTAGCTTGGGAACCCAACGTTACCCTGGTTACACATAGTTACTCCCGCCGTTTACCCGCACTTGATCAATTTTACCGGGAAAATAAATTTTCGAAATTAAAGTTAATCAACTCAACTAAGAATTTCAAATCCAAGCTCTCCCAAATTCCCTAATCAAAATTTGAAACAAATCTGTTTATGATCGGTCCAACAAACAGACAAACAGACATTTAAAATAAACAGACATTACAACTTTCTATATATGAAACAATTTGAAAATAATTGTAAGATTATGTGTATTTAGGATTCTGAATATCCCGCTAGGCCAGCACAATCCTCTAATGAGGAGACATGCAAGCTATGTAAGCAACTTCTATTCATCGTAATCTTCACTCTATGCAGATACTGGGAGTTCAAATAAACCAAAAATATATATTATAACATAGCATATTACATTATATCCAACGAGGTTTTATTATATCATATTAAACTAGGCTAAAAGGGCCCCTTTCTTACTGTATTAGGTACTTTCCGAGAGGTATTTTCCAAAGTGTCAACTTCCCAAATGTACATTTTCCCAAGCGGCAACTTCCCAAAGGTTAGGTGAGGCCATCTGAGGCGTTGCAGGCTGAATCCCGGATAGACCGAAGCTCTAAATATTAAAGACTATTTAATTAGGGACCGAGCGCTGCGGCTAAAATAGTTTGGGGGCCGAGCACTACGGCAAGGGCAGACTTGGAAACTTGCTGCTTGGGAAATTAAACATTTGGGAAGATACAACTTGGAAAAATACCCTTGGGAAGTTGCCACTTGGGAAAAAGCATATTGGAATTTAACCAAACACCTAGCAACACCTTTAGATTATAATGCTTGATCTAAAATTCTCCATTTTAATTCCTTATCAAATGTTAGTTAAGCGCAATTTAAAACAAAATAAAATTCGACATTTTTATCTGATTAAAATTTTTAATTTTGACAGTTCCTGCGGACATTTGGGTTTCCATACAAAATCTTGGCCCGATCGGTTCATCGAAAGTATCCAATATATATATATATGTATAGATATAGATTCCTTTGTAATCCAGCTGTAGCTGACATATGTATTTACAACTTTGTGATCTCGAACCTCCTCTAGTTTTAACTTTATGCACAAGTATGAACAAGCATATTTATTTAGTAACATATTAGAAATTTGAAACTTTTTTCTTCTTTTCAATATCTCCTCATTGTTGTGATTTTAAAAGATTTTAAGCTTACTTGCAATTTATTTAAATTTAACGTGAGTCAAAGTTTCTCAGAAATGTCTGGATTTGAGAGGCCAATTAAAGGGGTGCTCTCAAAAAGGTTTTCGATAGAAAAAAAACCCAGTTACCATAGTAAATCAAATTGCTTTTTTAACGGAGACAATGAAAATTTCCATCATTACAAAATCTGATTCCAAACAATATATAAATCTTAAATCTTTAAATAAAATGAAAAGAAATAAGAATCTGATAAATTTTTTGCTGAGCCAGAAATGTCCAAAGCTGAGCCTTACAAAACTTTATATGGAAAATGTGAGCTTTATGGATTATATCACATGATTAAACCCAAGTAGGAACCAGTAAAGAATACATTTTTTAAATATTTATTTTGAATTGTACATATATGTTTATCACATTCTGCTTATATTATCAAAGTACTGTACTCTACAATATACTAGAAAATTGTAAATATTTTGCTCCTGTTTAAAGTTTTTATGTTTTAGGTGAGAAAAATATGCGGACAGCATTTTTAAAAATTCTAAACAAGGATAATTTGGCTCTTATTGATAAAACAGTTCTCCCTATTTGTTCATATCCATGGTAAGTATTTTATAAACATCTAGTTGGAGCCCGGCGTTGCCTGGGTTTATTCACTCATATTTACGCCCGCCGTTTTCCCGTGCTTGGAACTAAAACATGGCTTTACAAGAAGTGTCCAGCCATGCGTAATATTTAAAAAATTTTAAATAGTGAATATGTATCTATATCTGATGATAAAAACACAGATTATTTTTCCAATTTTATATATTTTTTCTTATTTTATATTAGCTGAAGTGCCTGGCGTTGCCCGTAAAATTAAAATTTTTTTCTTCAAAATTTCGATTTAAAAAAAAATATCGATTTTTGAAAAACATAAATTTTAGAATTTTTAGGCTATGTTACACCCTAAAGAAATGTCAGATTATTCGGTACAGCCGTTTGGCCAGCTATAGGGAACATATAAACAAATGTTTTGTTTTATTACATAGAACTAGCAAAAGGGCCCATGAAAAAAATGAGTGTCCTCAAAAAATTTCAGCCCATTCTGTCCAGCCGTTTGGCCAGCCAGAGGGAACATATATATGAACATCTTGTTCTATTACATAGATGTATGCTAGGGGTGTGGCCTGGGAAAAGTCCCCCCCCCCCCCCCCC